TGATAAAGCAACCCTTTTCTCTATGTATGAGGTCAATTTTTTTTTATTGGAGTTAAAATTAACGTGGATATATGACCGAACCTAACCAACCCTACCTAACCTAACCTAACCTATATTTATAGGTAAGGTTAGGTTAGGTAGCCAAAAAAAGCTAGGTTAGGTTAGGTTAGGTAGGTTAGGTAGACGAAAAAACATTAATTCATGAAAACTTGGCTTATTAGGCAAATCGGGCCTTGAATAGTAGGCTGAGAAGTGCGTTCTGGCTACTAGGTACGACATATATATATATATATATATATATATATATATGTATATATATATATATATATATATATATATATCAGTTATATATATATATATATATATATATATATATATATATATATATATATATATATATATATATATATATATATATATATATATATATATATATGTCGTACCTAGTAGCCAGAACGCACTTTTCGGCCTACTATGCAAGGCCCAATTTGCCTAATAAGCCAAGTTTTCCTGAATTAATATATTTTCTCTAATTTTTCTCTTATGATAGAGCTACCCATTTCATTATGTATGAGGTCAATTTTTTTTATTGGAGTTAAAATTAACGTAGATATATGACCGAACCTAACCAACCCTACCTAACCTAACCTAACCTAACCTAACCTATCTTTATAGGTTAGGTTAGGTTAGGTAGCCGAAAAAGTTAGGTTAGGTTAGGTAGGTTAGGTAGTCGAAAAACAATTAATTCATGAAAACTTGGCTTATTAGGCAAATCGGGCCTTGCATAGTAGGCTGAGAAGTGCGTTCTGGCTATTAGGTACGACATATATATATATATATATATATATATATATATATATATATATATATATATATATATATATATATATATATATATATATATATATATATATATATACCGTAACTTGGTTCTATTGGTGACGGGTTTGATATTTCATATTTTTTATTGAGAAGCCTAGTCATTCAAAGCACATATTTATGGTATTTAATTAAGGCTTTTCCTCTACCGCAGCGATGAACATAGGTTGAACACTTATAAATAACTCTTATAAGAATTTGAAAATTGTATTCTCAGGTAAAGTCGATTAAATGTTCCACGCAGCAAATAACTTATATTAGGGCGAAGAAATCAAAGGTTTTAAAGGAAAACACAAAATTTTAGTCAGTTTTCCCATCATATGTGTTAGTAGGAATAAGTTTTGGCATCGAATATAAAAAAATTAAAGGTTTTATTCTGCTAATAGGCCTTATTTACAGCGATGATAGCGTATATAAGTATTATATGGATGACTTGAATGGTTGACTCTGTAACCCACAGAAAGGGATGATATATTCGTCGATAACGCAGTGATGAACGACGGCCAGGGTGAGAGAGATTGTAAATATAAAGACAAATAAAATAAATATAGACGCAAATATTGTAAATATAAACACATTGTAAATATAGACACATAAATTATAAATATAGACACGACTCAATATACATATAGAAAGACACTTGAGAGACATAAAGAGAAGCTGAGAGCGACATAGAGGCAACCGACAGGCGTCAAAGAGAGAACTGTGGCAGAGAATCGAAGAGAGAAAACGAAGACGAAAGAAAACGGGATAACGGTGGCCGAGGGTGATACGTGTGGATTTCGTGCGCCATTATCGTTTTATTAAGATGGCGCGGCCCAACTGCGGTGGTGGGTGTCAGCGGGGGTTCTCCTTTGTCCAGGCCCGTGCCGACCATCCCAGCCCACACCACCTCCGTCCAACGCCCGATTACAGCATCTAGGCGGCGGCAGCTATAGGACCCGATCTCAGTTTAGCCTAGCTTATCTCAGTGCCACCAAGACCCACAAAACAATCTGGGCAGGGACAATCACAGTACTATCAGGAGAGATCACAATACAAGCAAATGATAATCACAGTACAACCCTACGATCACAATGCAACCGGGACACGGACATAGTACACCAAGTCACGTCAGTACAATTAGTACATGATGACTATACTTCCACGACCCCCAGATGGCACAACACCCAAGAGCACCGCCGGTTCATCGTCATCAGTGTTGATTGGACACTGAATTAACGTTGATTCAACGTTGCACAAATGCCACTCTTGGATATCATGCCCATTGGGGGCAGGACCACTGTTCAACAAGGACAGGACCACTGTTCAATGAGGACAGGGCCACTGTTCAACCAGGGCAGGACCACTGCTCAACCAGGGCAAGACCACTGCTCAACCAGGGCAAGACCACTGCTCAACCAGGGCAGGACCACTGCTCAACCAGGGCAAGACCACTGCTCAACCAGGGCAAGACCACTGCTCAACCAGGGCAGGACCACTGCTCAACCAGGGCAAGACCACTGCTCAACCAGGGCAAGACCACTGCTCAACCAGGGCAAGACCACTGCTCAACCAGGGCAGGACCACTGCTCAACCAGGGCAGGACCACTGCTCAACCAGGGCAGGACCACTGCTCAACCAGGGCAAGACCACTGCTCAACCAGGGCAGGACCACTGCTCAACCAGGGCAGGACCACTGCTTAACCAGGGCAGGACCACTGCTCAACCAGGGCAGGACCACTGCTCAACCAGGGCAGGACCACTGCTCAACCAGGGCAAGACCACTGCTCAACCAGGGCAGGACCATTGCTCAACCAGGGCAGGACCACTGCTTAACCAGGGCAGGTCTACTGCTCAACCAGGGCAGGACCACTGCTCAACCAGTTTAGGACCGCTGCTCAACTAGGGCAGGGCCACTGCTCAACTAAGGCAGGGCCACTGCTTAACCAAGGCTGGGCCACTGCTCATCTAAGACAGGGCCACTGCTCATCTAAGACAGGGCCACTGCTCAACCAGTTTAGGACCACTGCTTAACCAGGGCAGGACCACTGCTCAACCAGGGCAGGACCACTGCTCAACCAGGGCAGGACCTCTGCTCAACCAGTTTAGGACCACTGCTTAACCAGGGCAGGACCACTGCTCAACCAGGGCAGGACCACTGCTCAACCAGTTTAGGACCACTGCTTAACCAGGGCAGGACCACTGCTCAACCAGGGCAGGACCACTATACAATCAGAGGGCCACTGCATAACAAGGGCAGGACTAATGTACAATCAGGAAAGAACCACTGTACAACCAGAGGGCAGTATCAATGCTGCCAGAGCAGGACCATTGTACAACCACACAATGGTCTAGCTCGCGCCTCGACAGCGATTTTGGCAGGATTTGAATCCTGCCATGAAGGATTGAATGGACGCCAATCCGTAACTGTCCGTCCTTGTTCACCCAGCAGTAATTGGGTACCTCGTAACCGATTGGTGGGCGAAGGGGGTCTTGTTCCAGGGAAAAACTAGTAGGGTAAGGCTTACCGTGAACTACACAGAGGGAAAGTTCTCAGCTTGTATCAGAAGTCGTCTGTTCCTGTAAAATAAAGTGGATGTTTTAAGAATCATTATGTTATCGTTCTTTCACCATGGCCAAAACTAACTTAAATTTTAGAATATAATTTCCCCAAAAATTACAAGATGACACTGTAGATAGAGATGTTGCAAAATAAAATCTACACCATGTTAGCTCTCCCGCCAGTTTGAGTCTTTCGCATATTCCAAATTGAAGTAATGCAGTGCCTCGTGTATTAAGTCCTTGGAGTATTTAAGTAATAAAAGGAAAACCTTTCCTGTGATGCAGGCTATTTTTGTTCATACATTGAAATTATTTGATGTTAGAAAATATATTTCCAGATGGAAAACATTTGTTGTAGAGACGAATGATTTTCTTAACATGTGACTATATCCTGTGATTTGATACTTGAATAGTATCAAACTACTTGAATAGAGTATTGTATTTCATCGGATTTTTCTGCCACTCTCCTTTCAACTTCGAAAACTTTGTGCTGCTCGATATGTTCTTTTTTCAGCTTCTCATTCACTATTTTTTTTATCCTTTCCCCTTTTAATTTTGTCCACAGTTCTATTATTTTTTTCTCATTGCCACTTCCTCATTCTACCCGTTTCTCTCCTGCTAGTTTGTTCAATGCCATATAAACCTTATTCATCTATATATATATATATATATACAGTATATATATATATATATATATATATATATATATATATATATATATATATATATATATATATATATATATATATATATATATACACACACACACACACACACATACACTCAGATTCACATTCCTGAAACGAATAGGCTCAGGAATCTATACACCAGTTGATTAAAGGTTGAGAGGCAGGACTAAAGAGCAGAAGCTCAACCCCGCAAGCACAATTAGGAGAGTACACTTTTACACACACACACACACACACACACACACACACACACACACACACACACACACACACACACACACACACTCACACTCACACTCACACTCACACTCACACTCACACTCTCTCTCTCTCTCTCTCACAATCACTTTCACTCTTTAGGCTTGTTTTAAGGTCACCCCCCCTCAAGGTCGAACTACTAACCTCTTCCCAGGATGTAACCCCACAACAGCTATCTAACTCCCGGGGTAACAATTTATTGTTATATGAAGAGAGGTATCAGGTGAAAGGAAACATGCCCAACCATTTCTGCCCTGCCTGGGATCCCCGATTGTGAGTAAAGAATGAAGCCAACTATAATATGAGACTAGTTGTTATATTCAGTACAAATACATTCATTCCCTCTCAATCCTCTGCTACCCAACTTTGTCACCAACTACTATAGCATGCACTCTTCACTCTTGATCCACTTCCTCACACACTGTCTACCAATCTATTGTCTTTTCTTTCCATTCCAGCCCTTCTTTCCTTGCCATACCCTCAAATTTACTGTCTTAATAAGTCTATTGTCATCCATTCATTTAACCTGCCTGTTAACATTTTTATCCAAATTTTTTGCTTTTAATATGGTTGCTTTTCTTAGTTTGTATATTATTTACTTATAAAAAGGAAAATAATTTGTTAATTTAGTGGCTTCAAAAGTGAGTTTATTGTCTAAAAAAATATCTCCATACAACTTTAATAATCATTTTAAAATAATTTCATCCTTAAAGGTAATATTATTTAGTAAAATTAAATTGCATTAAAACAAATTAAGCATTCATTGTAAGGAAAAGGCTTTTTCTGGTGAGTCCCAAGTGGTTTCTCAAGATCAACTCTGGTACCCCCCAACACAACAGGCCTCTGAGAGCCTTCTAGTTTACTGGGAGCCAGCACCAGACTCTGGCTCACTCAATGAGATGAGGGGTTCAGAGATCAAACACAAAACTGGGAACCTACAAGAAAACATAGGTACACAAAACAAGCAACTGGTTGAAGGAATATACACTCCTAGGTAAACAAGGCAAATGAATACTACCATAAAGTAAATAACCTGACAAAGATGTGTCTTGCCACTGCCAGATAGTAGCAAAGGTCACCTCAGATTGCCATCCTGCCCCAACACTATTGAGCCTTCATTGTAAAACCTTAAAACCCCCACAGGGAAGAAGGGAAGCAGATGGGAACTCAATACATTCAATACTGTACCTGATTTCTGAAAGGAACCCCTCAGTGACTCTCTGAGCTTACTCATAATGGTGCCGCAACAGAGGAGGCCGTCATAGAAAGCACCAGAGCAGCCCAACAGAAATCAGGATCTGCACCACCCACTGTAGACAAGCTGTTACAGCAACATCAGAAATCTGGCCCACAAAGCAACTGCTCAGCTCAAAATTGAAGTCCAACACACATCTGCTGGTGAAAAGTACCCCTGGACCCAGAAGACTGCATGACTGAGGCCGTGGAAATTGTCTTGGAGCCTAAAAACCCCAAAGCGTAACTTAGAAAGCTACAAACAATACCATAAGCAATAACAACAAAGCTGAAAACAAATAGTAGACAATAAACACCACTGGGGTGAGGGAATCCAGCTAACCAAACTATTATACTGAAAGACAGCAGGCATGCCAGGTGCACTGAAAGCATTTGGGCACAGGGTAAATACCAAACCCCGACCTTGAACATTCAGCGAGGGAAGGCATAAGCAGCCATGAATCACGAAAAGTCATGAATGTGGCACAAGTGCATCCTCGGCCAAAGTACAAGGCCCCTAACACCCACATGAACAGGGCCAGCATGATAGTCTAGTCTTATAATGTGGCAAAACTCATTTTGCATGGTTTGGCGAGTTACAGTATATTATTTGAATAAAACTTTGTCTTTTTCCCATCAATAGGCTCCTGATGGGAGATTAAATCGCATGCACTGCCTAGAAGTGGAGAGACACGAGGTCAACTCATAGAGGATGTAGCCCTCAAAGCAAGTATTTCTGATAGAGTAGGGAAAGAGAAATGCAAGTCAACCCCCCACAGGTGGTAACCCTGGCCACAATTGGAGTGAAATGTAATGCTTAGGCAAACAGTGGGTGTGGTATATAAACCACTGTGAAGTGTAATTGAAAGCAAACAAAACAATGGCCTCCAACAGAACTGATGTTCCAGAGAAGGGCAATAACACTCAGCAGTGTATGCGAGAAGCTGGCGAGTAGGTCCTGCAGAGGCCAATGGTGTTGAGTTGATAACACCAGGCATAGGAGTAATGGACCTGGGCTGCTACCTTGTGGTGATCATGTGCATTACAAACAGGGCATGATCATTTAGCTTGTTTGCCCAGGGGTGCAAATTTTTCTTCATGTAGTTGTTGTTTTTTAACAACTAATCGTTTCTGGTGGATTTTTCCCAGTTTTGTGGTTGATCTCTGATCCCCTGCTCTCCTCAGGAGCCAGGTTCTTGTCCTGGCTCCTGGTAGGGTAAGGGTCTCAAAGGCCTGGTGTATTGGGTTAAGATTCGGTGGTAACAGAGTTAAGCTCAGGGAGCCACTGATGGGACCTCAAATTTTTTTAAATGAAGTAGCATTAGATACATACATGTAATGAATGTGGCACACTGGATGAGAATTTGAACATAAACAGGTGAAAAAATGCGCTATACTGTGACTAGATCAGCCATATTCATTTTCATTGTTCAAAATAAGATGTCACCTAAATATAACAGATCACCAAATATCTGGGCACTGAAAAAGACTACAGAGATAGAGATTTTCACTCTTAAAATTAGAGGAATTTTACACGAAGCTCATAACCTATAAGTAATGAACACGACAAAGATACCTTATAAATAATGAACTATACACTCAAAAAGAAATCCTGAACACATTTTAATGGCCAAAAGTAAAAGCAAACTATGGTAACCCTTACATGACAAGCAACATTTCTCAAATGTAGTATTATAAAGACAAACAATTTTGGCATAACATCAAAGGGTAGAGTAGTAGTTTGTACATTTATGGAAATCAAAGGAACCAGCAAATCAAATCACCAAGAATATGCTGTACTGTATTAATAACTCTGTAAAGCATAATAATAGTAGTTTAATTAGTTCCATTATAATCCATGATCTTCAGCTCAAAAACTACAATGAAGTTTTAACATGATATAAAAAATAAACTTATTATAAATGCAAAAATATATGAAATGCAAGAGTAAATTTATGACAGGAAGAAGTTATCCGAATCCTTTATGGAGCACAGGTGTCATACCAAAGTGAGATACAACAGCTCTCAAGAGAATTAGTATGACAACAGTATATAAATAGTAAATTAAAAAGCATTGTATTATGATTAAATAGTATTGAGAAGTAATTGGAACTAACAAAGTACTATTTTGTACTCTACTACATGGTAACTCTGTGAAAGTTTTGTTAGAGGCCAGAGTTAAAACTGTTGCTGCCCCATGCCCTCAGATAACAATAATTCCATCAGTAACAATAATTCCTGCTAATAATTATGGATGTTGAAAACAGGTTTATGTTCATTGGTATTATAATCATCATTTATGGTTTTTCTATAGGAAATCAATACAAAACATTTGAGTAAGTTTAGAGACTTAGAAGCAACATTTAATTATAAATTCTGTGAACTTCTACAACCATCATAGAAAAGATACAGCCATCAATTGTTTGCACAAATAAACATGGAGAAATAATATAAAAAATTCTTCAGTACTTTCTTAATCTCGTGGATGAGTTTGTTCTGTCTCTATAAAAATAGCAGACAGAAATTGTTATGACAATATTTTGCTGCAAAAGAAGTGAAAACATATGAAAGATTTATAATAAATACAAATTACAAAAACATAATTGGTATCTTATGGGAAAATAAGAGGGGATGGGCCAGGAGTTATCAGAAGCAAACAATTTATATTTATAAGTGGGGTAATTGTCAGAAAAATAAAGTACTGTAACATTAAACCAATGTACATAAAAAGTTTTTATCACAATAACATACATTCACCAAGGTCTAGTTTCCTTTAATAAAATTGAAATTGGTTTCATAATTCTAAAAACACATAACTGAATGCAGTTTTAGCCTAATGATATATCACCAATTTGAAAAAAAAGAAAAGAAAAAAGCGTTGAATGTAATGAAACAATTTTATGGGCGAGACCCGGAGGCTCCCCGGAGCTATACTGGGGCTAATGTGTATATATTAGACCGTGGCAACAGTCAATCGATGGAGTTCTTAGCTCTGGCTCCCCTCAGAGAGGCACAAGGAGCAATGGCCTATAGACATGCCCAGGTAGTTGGAAGCAGTTTATGCTGCCATCTACCAGGTCAGGCACCCAGAAAGGTAGAATCCCAAAACAAACTACAGCTAGTTAAAAATTGCAAACCAAAAGCCGAACGAGCAGGAAGAACTCCCCAATCAGAAAACAAGCATGACGTCATCACAGCCACCGCGCTGTTGTCTGCACAGCTCCCACCCTCCGTGGGAGGGGGAAGGGGAGGAGGAGCCCCAGACCTCCTGTGCCATCTACCCAACCCTAGTTCAGAGGCTGAATATAAAAAAACGCGAAAAAAAATGCTAACAGGAGGGAAGGATGTCAGGGAGCCTCCGTGTCTCACCCACAAAATGGCGTTTCATTAAATTCAATGCTGATTTTCTGTGAACCCTCCAGTTGTCAGTAAAGCTTTGCCGATTTTCTCGATGCTTTCCTGGTGGGATAGCTGGAACTGTCACTCGCTCCCTGTGAGGGGGGACGGCCAGGTACCAGTAATGGGCCCCGCTAGACCAAACAGAACTTTTGCAAATGATGTAACTTTTTAGTATGAAGCAATCTCAGCAAGATAGCTTCAGGAAGCCACAAGGGGGCTCCCCCAGAAAATGACTTATTCAATATGATGTCTCTCACAGATTTCTCCTATGCTATGAACAGGAAATACACGAGTACAAATGCTCACAAAATTAGTACTAAAGTATACAAGCAATTAAATTTTGCAATGGATTTGTTTTTTTACATGAGATCAAAATATGTGCTGCAACATAAACACATCCAATATTCAAATGCTGTGTAATATTATAAAAAAAAATTTAATCATTTAGCAGCCAGTTTGTACAGTTGTATATTCTCTATAACTGAATTACAATATACTTGAATATATTGACAAAATTTAAAATAAAAGTTTTTGTTTCAATTAAAATTTTTAATAGAATTAAGTTAAATTCTTATATACAGTATATCACAAAAACTAAAGAAATTAAGATGTTTTACCAAACATTTAAATACCACAGGCTGACTTTCAAACTTGTGATGACACATTAAGTGCAATTACACACAAACATAAGTTGGAAAAACACGGCTTCAACTGAAATGGCAATTAAAGGATAACCCAGGTTAAATTACTATACTGATGAAACTTCATGGTTAAAATTACAATACTGCACGCAACAATCTAATTAAATTTGCTTAACTGCTGCACAAGTGTAATATATCTGCCTTACAGCTATGTATACAGTACAATCAATACATGAATTGAGAACACAGCACTTAGGACAACAGTAGCACCAAAAGTATTTGAATACTCTACATTAAGACTAAAATATTGATCTAAAACTTTTTTTTGTTGGTTTTTTGGTGCCTACCGGTATAATTTACACCTGTGTTACTAAAAGTACAAACATATTAATACCCAAGATTCAAAGCCATGTAACTAATACCATGACCTTCATGGGGTAATTAATAATTCTGATATGCCAACACCTGATCAGTGCCAGGATTCATGACGTACTCATGTACTCACTTACAAAACCATCACATCTTTCCTCAACTATGGTGACTTTGTTAGGCTTTATTAAACAGTTTATGAGCTTCAAAGCACTGTGATGTTGTAACAATAATAACCATGGGGTGCAAAGTTTCAAAGCTCAAATTAATAAATGCAGATTAAGCTGCCAAGATCAAGGAAAGGTGTACAGGTTTTTAAGTGCCAGTTAGTTTACAAAATATTCCAATGTACTGGCAGCCACTCCCTCTCCTGACACAACTTGGGTTAATCAAAGCAAGGTGACAGAAGGCTGAGTAGAACCACACATGTCCAAATGACCGAAGAGGCAATAGGATAGATGGGGTAAGGGAGCAAATAAAATGAAGTACAGAATATAAAAGAGAAGAGGAAATTAGCTTGGCTTTTTGGATCTCATAATCTAATAAGCTTAAATAAAAAAATTATGCACTCTTATTATGGAATTTTTTTTTGTGAACATGTATAAAATACTACTGTAGTACAAATAATTTATATACTGTACAAATTTAAATTTACATATAAGAATCTTAAAAATCTATGAGAATCAAATTTGTCATAATGAGGTAAAGCAAATTATTAACATTTAAATTGATAAAAGAATGATGATAATGCACTATATACAACAGATGCACACAATTATTACTGCTTACATCATATGAATGTCTATCTAAACAAAACTATCTAGGCATATTATGCATATGTCATGAAAATGCAATAGAGTATAGTATATGCTCTACTGTGGTTATGAGAATATGATAACAATAAGAATTTTCACGAACCTTCAATTGCGTTAAAATTTCAGTAGTGTACTGGTATTTGCACAGCTGTACTTAACTTTTATAACTATTCGCACGAATGCATTTCACTTGAAACAAGGTTTACAAAAAATTATGTAGGCTTCATGTATCTCAATTAATGCATTTCTTATTTTAACATTTTACCATTTGTCATTAATGCAGAATGTCTTTGCTAATAGTTTTCTCATTAATGTTTGATGTAGACTTTTGTTAAAATTTTGTCAGACAGCCTCTACCTTGATAAATATTCTATATACTTAGCATCTTTTAGAAATTCAATTCTGATATATTTAGCTAGTGGTTAAAATGCTGCAAATAAATTAGATGCTTTCAAACTGCAAGCTATCCCAAGTTTCTTAAAAAACAAATTACATGCACACGCATATATAATAATAGTACAATCAATAAAAGAAGAACCAGACATTCTGAGAACTTTATAATAAGTTTTCACATCTTCTCATTCCCAGGCAGGGGGAAAGGACCCTCTGTCCACATGATAAGCTGATGCTCTGGCAGTTGTGATGCAGTCATGTGATCAGTAAGTAGTGTCTGAGAGAAATTGTAATGATTCTGACTGCTCTCTTGCTCATGGGAAACGTCACCAAACTGGCGGTACAAATCTGTAGGAGAGATAAGGCATATTTGGAGATGATACTTTGACTGTATAGGCTTTAAAATTGTGGATGAGAGAAAAATTATATTATTAAAGATCTACATAAAGGAAAAGGATGTTAGGGGTTTAAAGAGCTGATTCAGGAATGGTTTCCCATTGTCGGGAACAGGAAGTTGGTTAAGCTGATCAAGGTACCCCCTAGGCCAGTCGGGGAGTGGCAGTAAATTACCCCAAATGGGGTCAAAATTTAAATTTTGGTAGTAATGCTCCAAAAAATAATAATAGGGTATAAAACTATAATATTTTATATGAAAATGACACTAATATTTTTACATACAAAACTAATGAACCTACAGCAAAAATCTTATTACAGATTTTTATTGATTCTTCATATATAAAGCCCCCCAAAAAGTGTATCTATAACTATTCCAACTTGAGCAGGTACCGTGTTCATATTATAAGTTTTCATTATGGCAACACTCTCCACCCATGTTATGGCTAATATCAATTTCATTGTCTATGGCAGTGTGACACGTGACAGGAGTGAAGCACTAATGTTGAAAATGTGGGACTTGAACATGTCCATTACTATCCTCTTGGGGTGAGTGCTTACACACCCAGTGAAAGGAGAAAATATGGTTTTTAATAATTATAATTTTAAACAAATATCTTTAGCTTTTCTATTTAACAATTTTTATTAATTCAAATTTCATAGGTTAATGCAATTTATAAATCAACCCTATCATATTAAATCACTTTTAAATCCAATACAAGAGCAATAGATTGTATCATGAACCTTTTAGGATAGCAGATGACCATAGCTGTAAATGGAGATCTGGAATCTTGGAAGCCAACTGCATAGCTGGTGTGACCATGTTGTGTGCTTCCCGAGGATTCCCAAGGGCAAGGAAGATATGTCCGAGGAGTACCAAGGAGCATGATGTCAGGCGGTTCAGGTCCTCAGCATTAGCCATTTTTAAAGACTCCCGCAAGAACCGTCTGAAATTTTAATGGATCTATTATAGTAGAAGTACATAATTATGGACTATATCCTTACATCATCAACAAGTTAGAAAAAATACTGTGACCAACTGCCTTACTGCTTATGACTAGAAATATCAGGAGGATGAGTGAAAAAGTCTTGAAGGGCCTAGAAGCTTTATGTAAAAATTAGGATAAATACTGTACTATTCAGTACTGTATATGGATTAAAAAACTGCCACTTATATTTTGATAGTTAATATTCTCATACAATAAAATAAAAATTTCTCCATAAAAGTTGTATTTTATTTTTATATTTATCAACAGATAGTTTATATGAACTAATTTATGCATACTTACTTGCCATCATTGTGTCGACTGGTGAAGAACGCATGGAGACCCTGAACATAAAATGATGCTGCTCGCAGACTTTGAGATTGCGTTGGGAGTGTATCTGGGTTTATTCTGTCCATGATGGCAACGAAGTCCCTTTCACGTTGACATCTCAAGTACACCACAGCGAGATTAAGATTTGCAAATATCCAGAGATCTCGGTTTTTTGAGGTCTGCAAAACATATAGTAATGAGAAGTTGCATCCTAACATTGGTTTACAATGTGTACCTTTTGTTTGGAGTATTATGTATCCAAATACTTTTAAGCCATTATTATTGAGTTTTTGGGACTTCAAGTATAGAAGCAATCTGGGTGTCATCCTTCTATCAAAGAAAAAGGACAGGAGTTATGTAAATATGCTAAACCCTAGAGTTCAGGTCACTTATCAACACAACCCTGAATTAATAAAATCAATGAACAATGAATACAAACCATGTACTTCCTCAACTTTTAAAACCATGCACAGATCCCTCAATCTAAATTTGCCAAACTAGATTAATTTTTTCTGAGCTATCACATTTGGCTGCTCCCTAAGGCAAGATCTGCTGTGTGGAAAATCTCCCAATAAAAATGCAAGGTACAAAACAAATCCACCATTTTGGCTTGGACAAATCAGTATCATATGAGATATCAAGGTATGATTTTACTCCTTGAATGTTTCTCACAACACAAAATGACGCTGGGGATATTAAAATGTTCCTGATACAACACTGAACAGAAGTCAGACATAACAAAATTGATATAAATTGATAGGAGAAATTAATATTAATAAAGAACTAAAAGAGAAGACAGAAAAATACCTGCACAGGGCTTACCCAAAAACATTGTTGTCACCCTTCCATCGTCTTCTAATAACAATAATAAAATCAATTATGTAGTCTCCACATAAAATTAACTTAAATATACAGTATAAACAAATCCACAAGGGCCGTGATGAGGATTCGAACCTATACACGGGATGTTCATTTGATGTATAATGATATTGTGATTTCTGTATGTATTAAATATATAAACTAATACATCTTTCAATATCACATTTAAAATGGTCACAAAATATAATTAATCAAATAATGCACCAAGTAATCACGCAAACGGAAGGGCAACGGGCCCTAGACAAATAAAGTGAAGACGTTGTCAGTTCTGCATGTCTGATTTCTAAAAACCTTGATGTTTTATCACATACTGTACATGATTAATCAGTTTCCAAACGACCATATGTAACTGTGGGAATATTTCTTAATACGAAGGAATATACCTTGCGGATACCTTACGATGATGCCGGGACTTAGCGTCTCTGCGGCCCAGTCCTCAGCCAGGACTCCTCATTGCTGGACTGGTCAACCAGGCTGTTGGACGCGGCTGCTTGCAGCCTGTATGAGTCACAGCCTAGTTGATCAGGTATCCTTTGGAGGTGTTTATCAAGTTCTCTCTTGAACACTGTGAGGGGTCGGCCAATATAAAACTAATAATCAACACAGTGAAAAAAATATCGCAAGATAGCTCCGCTCTGTTTGGTGCAAAAGACCTACATGAACTATTGCTAGTGCGCTTATTAATCTCTAACAACTGTAGTACAGTACTAAGTATATGATGAATCTAAAGTGATAAACAATTAAACCATGATCAAGTTGCAAGATAAATTCTTTTCTACCCACACTAATTTTAGGCACAGACAAACTAACCACCTAAGTCCATGTCACTAGTGAGGGATCTACAGGATGATTTGCAACTTCCCAATCAAAATTGCTGTCCTGTTACAAATTTATATTTATAATCTGAAACAGGCCAGGAACAGGGATGACCATAAGATTAGAGTAGATGGCCATCGATTCATGTTGGGGTCACATTTCTGCAAAATCAAGTACAGTACCGTATTGTATGTAATGAAATGCTCTTTTCTGGTGGCTCTCAGTATATCGTTGAGCTAAGTGCTGGTGAAGCCATGCCTTATTATGATGCACCAGGCCTCTAAGTCCAATCCTTGCCTATCAGAACCCAGGACCAAAATCCAGCTTGGGAAGCTACTGAGAGGGCTCTCCCAAAAAATTATACATACGAAACTTGAAGGTAGAGTATGTGAGATAACTAAGGTTAGGTTCCAAAGACCTATGAGAGTCCACTTTTGTACGTTCTTAATCAATAAAGTAACTATTTCAACAGTCATATATAGTGCTGTATAATACTCCCTTTACTTTCCAGCCACAAATACAGCACACAACGAATTCCAGAATGCTTGGGATTATCTGTATTAATTCATGTTAATTCGTGCTCAACCAATGTAAAGTAAAAATTCGCACTTCGAAACTTGGCATAAAATTTCTTACCCGCGTAACTCCAAATCCGCATAATCCAATATCGCGCAAGTTGTGCGCCGCCTGTATAGGGAAAAAACGGGAAGTTTCGTTATGAGGCATACAAAGTAAATGACACAGGCGAGTTGAGTAATGTCACGTGGTACTACTATAAACACTAGAAATTTGGAACCAGTAATTTTTAAATATTGGCATTTGCATCTAAAGTGCCTACTGTACTACAACGAACAGTAACAGTTCGTGGTAATTATGTACTACAGGTGAAGCCATAAACTGTGAATTTATAACTCACAACATAATTATGAGTCAAGTTACTTGTGCCTTTCTCGGTAATTAGTTATAGTACAGTAGTAACATAAAGTTTCCATACACTGTCTATTGAATAGGATCATGCAATCAGGCAAGGTGACATTGGTATCGGTCTCACCGGTTGTTGTAAGGTCATTGTAGATGCTATTGTGGAGGATAGCACTTAATAGGCTTTTCTATGTGGCAGCTGAGGTTCTTTAACTATGCCTCATGGGGTTCATGTATTACAAGGACAGTATCATTTAAGTTTTTAAAGCTCTCTAACAAACATATTCCATCTGCAAAGTAATTCTAATACAGAAATTATTCTACTGTCTGGTCATTCTTTGCCATGCAACATTTGGCTTAATTGAGTACTGTATCTTGTATAGTATTAAAGTCTCATGCATACACCAGGACTATACATTAATTAAAATTAACTGTTATAATATTAATAATTACAGGTATATTATTTGAAATATATTTGAGCTATATTAAAATACTGTGTATTTAAAATATATTAAAATACTGCATATTTAAAATATATTTGACAAATTATTATTAGGCAATTAATTATAATTGTAATTAATGTATAGTCATGGTGTATGCCTGAAACTAATTAATACTATACAAGGTATGTACTCAATTAAACCAAATGATGTACAGAGAGGAATGACTAGACAGTAGAGTAATTTATCACAAGACTCTTTGTAATGTGCACGCTGCATAACCCTGAGTTATAATTAAAATATTAAATTAACACTTCTTTATGTTGACCAATATTACAGCGTAATAATAAGCTGGTTTCCATACAAACTTAGGTTGTAGTTTCAGGGCATGCTACTAGTACCTGCAATGATTTCTTGGCTTTGTCTTGTCTTGTGATTACTGGAGACTGTTTGTACTTTATGTATTATTATATCCATAATTTTCTTCCTTGGGTTCAGTCTGTCTTCTTTTTTTCTAGCACATTATCTCCCTGCTACCCTTCCCAGGTGAATCTTGGAACTTTTTCTACTTGTGCAATAGAGACAATACATCTGAGTTTGCTTGTTCAAGTGTTCCCTGTTACTGTGGTTTATGGCAGCAGTTTGTAGCCCCTGACCCCTTTTTTTACCACCTTCGATATTAACTCCGGAACTGGAGCCCCTAGGGCAGTTCGTTGTTGCCTTCAACCTCATTCTACAGTTTCTGTGACGGTGCTGGAACCAATCATATTGAGATTTGCCTTTCCATTGGAGACTTTCGGCGCCGTGGAGAGGGGGAAGACCTGCTGCTTGGGTGACAGCTTTTCCTCCATATAAACCTACCATGGCTTTGCACCCTGGAGAGGCCACTCCAAACTGACAACCAGAGCAAAACTCCATAGTCTCCTATGACTGATGTATGCCTACTATGACAGCAATTTTCACACTTTTCATCTTTCCAGTAGGTGGCCTCTGTTGAGACCAGATCAAAGTTGACCTCCCAGTGTTCAGACTGCTAGGGCACTGGTTTACTGGTGTTTTCCTTGGTCAAGGTTTGGGGTTTCAAGATTGTAAACTTTTGTTTTGCATTTCATGTTAGATATTTTGTCAATGACATATGTAGAAGAATTTTATCCACTGCACTCCTCTGTTCAGGTTGCTGAAAAGTCATTTTTAGTGGTCAAGGTTGTCAAAAAGCCTTTACAGTGGTTTATCCTTATTTATGTCTGAAATTTTGGGCTCTTTTTTCCCTTTCTTACGTGAACCCTCATTTTGCTTTCTGTGGGTAGTTTGAGTCAGTGGTTATTTTAACACCTGTCTTTTCATCTTGGTAGACATACATACTATACAGTATATTACAGCATATGCTTTCTGGGGCCATCTATTGTCTCTGTGGTCAAATTCTTATACAGTACAGTATTTTATAATTGGGCAGACATCTCTTTTAATGCTACCAGTTTTCATCGGTCATTGCTTTGTTTGAGATTAGGATGCTCTGAGGGGATTATACTTGCACATGAACGATTTATTGGTCCATTCCATTCGTCAGTGCATTTGTTTTCGTGTTGGGGAAGTTCAAGGGATTGTCATTTTGCTTTGCAATGCTTCCTGGAGTCTCATAGCTGTATGGGTTATTTTTGCTGCAAGCTGTTCTTAGCATTTTTGGTGAGAGTCCAATGTTGTCTTTTACCCTCAGGTTACTGATTGTCTGTGGTTTATCCATAGGCAAACCAATGTTCCTCCCAGTTGCCTGCCAGCTGCTGGGTTCGTCATGATTGATGGCTGGGTGCTGGTTACACCTTCATGGTGGTTGCATGTTTAACCTCTTTAGGTCTCTCATATACCCAGTTAGTCTCATCATTCTGGAGTAATTTTATTGCCACAGGTAAACTTACTGTACTGTATTTAATGTTTGTAGATTTCCATTATTTTTCTAGGGTTCTTGCCAAGTGATCAATCTCAGCTGTTCCTTTTCCTCTTTTGCTCTTGCAATGTTCTGGAAAAAATGCTCCTATTTGAAACATTCCAGGCTCTGTCCTAATCAGGTGTGGAGTTGTGTGAGTAAGTTTTGATGTATCTCTATGTTATTCAGGTGGAAAAAGATTTTCTTCTAAGAGATCTAAGTACCCAACACACATCAGTAAGCAGCACTTGGCACTTGCTTCAGTAGTTTATTGCTTTAAGATGGTTGTCTCCAACTGTTCATGCCTGAGTTTCTAGGTGCTGCACCTTTTGACATTGCTGCTTTGATCCTATCTTTTTAGTTTTGACTTGACTTAAACTATTCTATCTTAATGAAGCTTTACTTCATTGCACTTCTTATGCTCCATTAGAATTTGCTTAATAATTGGATAGGTCTTCTGGCACAATTTGAATCTGGTATTTTTTCCACAGATTCTCCTGGAAGCATTCTTTCACTGTTTTTAAGATAAAGCTAAAGGATAAAATCTTGACTCTTTATTCTTTTAAGGATAAAAAGTCAAGATAAAAACCTCAGATAGACTTTTTATCTTGACTCCCACAGGTCAAAACTTTCTTGGTTAGGTATGCATTTCCCAACTTATGTGTATGGTATGAAAGTGAGAGTTAGCTTAAGGTCTATGTTTTAAGTAATGTGTTAAGAGTTTGCTACTTACATAACTTTTTTATAAAAAATGTCATGTTTGGAGCTTCAGCCACAAGGCATCTGCAGAACGATTCACTTGTGTTGGAATGATGTCTCAAGATTCCTACCCTGGGCTTCCATTGTTTCACTTTAGACAGGTTCTTTTCCAGGTGAACTGTTTCTCTGGAGCTGCCTGTAGTGAGTCTTTCACATCTCAATGCTTTCATGCTAGCTGGGGGTGTCTTCCCCCCTTTAGTTCATCGCCGTTTGGCATCCCTCAGGCACTGCAACACAGGCGAGTCATCCTATTTCTGAGTTTGTGGTTTCCATTTTAGAGTCTTACTTTAGGGAGCAGCCAAATGTGATAGCTCAAAAACAAGCTACAAGTCAATATGAAAAGCACCTTTTTGAGCAGAAGCATTCAGCTACTTCTGATGCCCCCCTTTACTGCTCTGATTCCCCTGTGTAAGCCACTTATTTCCATCAAAAGGTATATGGGATGGCTTGGGTTTGGTAATCCAGAGGCAAGTGTATGTGGTGTTGTCACCTGTTGATGGTCAGCATTGGTGGCTAGACAAGCCAACTGGTGTTTACTGGGAACCCTCATTTGGTGGTCACCTATAATGCCAAAGGAGGGCTCTAAAAGGTTTTGAATTTTCATGAATAGAACCTCTGTCAGTCATTCAGTCTGGACTAAATGTTCTTCAATAACTCCCAAGTATCTATAATGCTGGCACGGATCTTTTAAAAAGTTCCCAAGGTGCTGTTGCTTATATATCATCTTGTTGCCTGACCTTATCAAACAGAAACAGTGGATCTTACCATAGGGAGCAGTTGAATGATTTTGCCTGGAAAGATGCTTTTCATATACTCTTTATTTTTCTTACTCTAAATTGGCTATTAATATCTTACCCTGAGAGCAGCATTAAACTGAACTTCCGCTGCACTAGAGTTGTTCATACTCATGGCATACACAGCAAGTAGTGTGTGCAACTGTGCACGATGGGCCTGAAGAGAAAGATTTTGTCATTGGAACTGCACATACAAAACTGCATCTATGGGATACACAGTATTCCCTCATCACTGTGTAAGGTGTGGGTTTCTAAAGCACTTTGGACAAAACTAAAGACAAAATAATGTACTGTAGTAGTGGTTATACATTACCATCACAATATTAACACTGTACGATGAGGAATAATAATTGTTGATTTTTTAAAGATAGTACTGTATCTATATACAGTAGACTCCCATTGTGTCATATGTCTTTCCTGGCAAAAGCTACTTTTAGGAGATGAACTTTCACAGAGTTTTTAAATGTACAGTATTACAGTGTGTTAATTCCAATGTCCAGGCTCCCTTAATGTTTTTCAACATTTTCCTTTTCTAATTCTTTCAAAATTTAAATGGAGTCAACACTACCCATCAGACTGTACCCCTAATCCAGCAGCTAAAAAACACAACTACAAAATGACACTACTGTGTATCAATGGCAGATGCAGTAAAAAAACAGTGTTGAATGTAATGAAACTCCATTTTCTGGGTGAGACCCGGAGGCTTCCCTGGAGCTATCCAGACTGATACGGATATATTAGCTTTCTGGCATCAGTCAGTATGCATGGAGTTCTTACCTACCGGGAACCACGAGTCAGAACCTGGCCCCCTCAAAGAGGCATGAGGAGCAATGGCCTGTAGCGAGTAGAGAGAAGCGAGATGTCTGCCATCGACTGGGTCTGGCACCCAGAAAGGTAGGCACACCAAAACAAACCATTGTTCTGGTGAAAATATTGCTACCGAAAGCTGAACGAGTGGACAGAACTCTTCAAACCAAAATTAGCAAACTAGCAGGACATCATCATGTTGCCGCCCTGCTGTCTGCACAACCCCCCCCTTCCCGGGAGGGGGAAAGGGGGAGCCCCAGACCCTTGCGCTAGTGATCCACCCTTCAGTTCTTAGGCTGAAATGTCAAAACACACAAAAACACTGCCAACTGGAGAGAGGGAGAGTGCTGGAGAGCCTCTGGGTCTCACCCAGAAAATGGTGTTTCGTTACATTCAATGCTGGTTTTCTGGGGAAAGCTTCATCGGCTCCCCGGAGCTAACTCCCCAAAGATAAGGAAAAAGAGGGACATACCCGGGAGGTGGATGCCATGCACCTTAACTAGAAGCAAAACAACTGGTAACTCCGAATGACCTGGCAGACGACCCAGGAGACCCAAACCCTGGAACAGGGAAGAAGAAACCCGGGCAACCCAAAGCACAACCACGGCCATAGAAGCAGTGGCGAGCAGGCAACAGCGAAGAGCCGCAACTGGACACAACACAGGATGCACCCTGGCCTGACCAACCAAGCATCAACAACTCAAGGACCCCTTCAGGAAGCAGCAGACACGGTCTTCGCCAGAAAAGAAGGAGATGGCTGCAAACAAACAAACCTGCCACCAAGGCCAAAGAGCAAAAACCCTTGCGCCGGAGGAGAGCACAAAGCTCCCCAACCCGACCCCCAGAGACCAATACCAACAGAAAAAGAGCCTCGGAAAAACAAACCTGAACCGAAGGGGCCACAACAAACCATGGAGAAGAGAGAAAAGAGAGCACCCGGTTCAACAACCAGGAGGCCTCGGGCAGCGCAGGAGCAGGTCGGAGGGAAAACCACACACGAGACAACTTGTGGAACCGAGCTGAAGTAACATCAATCCCAAACGCAAGCAGCAGCGGCTCCTCCAGTGCCGCATGATATGAGGTGACAGTATTCGGCATAAGATGATGGTCCTAGAACAACACGAAAGGAAGGACAAGACAACCCTATCAGAAACTGAACTCAGGCATGCACCCTGAGTACTAAAGAATATTACTCCTGACTCGTACACCAACCGTAGAGACAGTACCATGCCACAAGGCACAGAAACCAAGACAAAATCTGGTGCCAGAGGCACAAGACCTTGCCAGTATCACAACAGCCAAGAACTGAAGGGTGGATCACCGGTGCGAGGGTCTGGGGTTCCCCCTTCCCCCTCCTGGAGAGGGATGGGGAAGGGGGGTTGCGCAGACAGCAGTGCAGCAACATGATGACGTCATGCTAGTTTGCTAATTTTCATTTGGGGAGTTCTGTCCACTTGTTCGGCTTTGGGTAGCAATATTTTCACCAGAACAGGAGGTTTGTTTTGGTGCGCCTACCTTTCTGGGTGCCAGACCCAGTCGATGGCAGACATAGAATGCTCCCAACCACACGGGGGATTTCTATAGGCCATTGCTCCTCGTGCCTCTTTGAGGGGGCCAGGTTCTGGCTCATGGTTCCCGGTAGGCAGGAACTCCATGCACATTAATGCCAGACAGCTAATATACCATATCAGCCTGGATAGCTCCAGGGAGCTGAGGGGCTCTGCCCAAAAAAGTTATTTTTTTAATAAACACTAACTCAAATAGCAATAGTTCCCATCACATAGACAAATAAATAATAAAGGAAACAAAGATCTGCTGATAGAACAACAAAATTCTAGCAGCTAATGAACAATCTACAAAATAAGACTTGTATTACTGACAGGTGTGACTAATGTCTCATTTCATAAAAGGAAAAGAAGGTTAAATATTATCAAAATTACACCCATGCTCGATAGCTTGTCATATAAAATGATGTAAAACGTACATGAAACAAACAAGAGGATCACAGGACTAGAGGGTCCTAGATATTCAGCGAGATGTTTATCTTCCTAGTGCTATCCAGTCGACAGTATCATAGGAAACAAGTACATACAGTACAACTATATTCTATACAAATATTCACAGTAGTATCTCATATGTTTCATAGCCTAACTAAGTAAAATACAATACCTCACATATTTATTAATACTACATGCAAGTTTAAACTGTTATTATCAGTTTGCAGTAATTAAGTTCAGTGAATAAAATCACCTGTGATACCCTAATGTCCAGAAATTTCTATTAATGAAAATTAGTAGACATACCTGAAGTTGTTTAGCATCCTGCTGAAGTAGTTGGCACACTTTGGCAATCTCCTTGATGGCTTGAGCTTTTGAGCCAATAATCAGATGACACATGACACTGTGTTCCAGAAGCAGTAGCTGCACTGAGCTTAAGATGGATGCATTATCTTCAGCTAAAAACAAAAAATAAGAAATTACCAAAAACATGTGAAAAGTTATAGGCAGCTTCATGTATATTGAGTCCTGCAGGGTGCTAGCCCACTACATGGTCTGCTAAGCTGTATCCAATCATGAGGCACATTATTTAAACCGTTTGCATCATATTAAGATGGAAAATTTGTTCAGAGAAAATTTATGAGTCAATGATATACTGCATCATTGGAACCTGAGTGTTAATTTGTTACTGTGCAAAAATATATTTCTTTGGTATAACTAACCAAAAGTTCTAGGGAAATAAGTGCAGTACAGTATTTTAATATACTGTATACAGTACAGGTATTAGAAAAATATATCTTTATCCATTACCTCTACAAACAAATTTAATTATTTCATATTCACTAACCTTTCAGCTTATCAATCTGAAGTAGAGCTTTATCTGTGTACTTCTGTGCCTTCTCCATGTAGCCTGCCTGCATGGAGTGCATGACTGACACCAGGTACACCAGCACACACAGCTGCTCCCGTGGCAGCCAAGCAAACATTTCACTTCCACTGCTCGGGATGATTTCTACAACAATAATATTCAAATGGAACAGGCAGACAACATTCCCTCTAGAAGGATTATCATATTCAAGATATGCAACACACTGCTAATCCTATTCCTGCTCAAGACAGTTTCTAAAATAATGATTACAGTCAACTCCCAGTTTTATGCAAGGCAGTTTCAAAGTAGACTGCTTGTATGTGCAGTTAAAATTTTGATGATTAATCAGACTTACATGGGCATAAAGAGCTTGATCTTATTTCCCATAGTCATTGATAGGTAAACCACCCATTCCATAAACTCTAGCACTATACAGACTAGGACTGCTAGTAAATTGTTTCAGTCAACTACATTCTATCATTTTGTGATTATTCACAAAACAATCTGCATCATAAACTTAAACTGACTTCCATATATATACCAAAAAACCATCGCTGAATGTAATGAAACATAATTTTCTGGGTGAGCTCCGGAGGCTCCCTGTAGCTATCAAACTGACATGTACCATATAAGTTCGGTACCATCAGTCCCTGTGGTTCGAGTGTCTACTGGGGGGGGGGGGGCCACAAGCCAGAACCTGGTCCCCTCAGAGAGGTGCAGGGAGCAATGGCCACATAAACTCTCTTCATTTAGAGTTTGTCATGTCTGCCATCGACCGGGGATACCTCCAGAAAGGTAGGGGACCGTTACAAACCTCTAACTGGTTAAAATTGCAACCTACGTCTGAACAGAGCCAAAGAACTCCCCTCAATAGAAAAATAATGAAACAAGCAACACGTCATCCCACTAGCATGCCCACTCGTTAGCACCTCACCCTCCAATGACAGGGGAGAGGGGGGGGAACCTGGATTAGGCGAGCAGGCCGCACCACCATCAGTTTCCCAAAGCAACACACACAGACTAACTGGTCCCCAGAGAGAAACCTCGGCCGCTGCTGATGCCAGCTGTGCCAACTGTAGTGCACCCCACCCAGCACAAACCCACTCCCCACCTTGGGCAAAACCATGCAGCAAAGTACTTATAGGAACACCTGGCCACCACACACAGAGCTGGCAAAGCCACATACGCAAAGCCAGAAAGAAGCTTGAGGCCACAGAGGACTTCTGACACCTGGTACATCAGCTGACGAACTGAGGGTGGTGCGGCCTGCTAGCCTGAGTGGGGTCTCCCCCCCCCTCCCTTTTGTCAGAGGAGGGTGAGGCACTCAGAGCGGGCATGCTAGTTGGATGATATGTTGCTTGTTTTATTGTTTTTCTATTGGGGGAATTCTTTAGCTCTGTTCGGACTTAAGGTGCAATTTTAACCAGTTAAGAGGTTTGTAATGGTTCGCCTACGTTTCTGGAGATATCCCCTGTCAATGGCAGACATAACAAATTCTAAATGTAGAGAGCTCATATGGCCATTGCTCCCTACGCTCCTCTGAGGGGGGCCAGGTTCTGGTTCGTAGTCCCTAGTAGGCACTCAAACTCCAAGGACTGATGGAACCAAACTAATATGACACATATCAGTTTGATAACTTCAGGGAGCTGACGGAGCTCCCTTCAGAAAAGCATTACCATGCTAATACCCTTTCTTAAAACTTAAAGTCACTGCAGGGTATTCTTCATTATTTGCCTAGATTCATTATTACTAAGATTTAGAGGTTAATTCTTGTATATTCTAGTACTGTATACTGTAGATGTAATTGTAAACTTGGTTGGTTAATGTTGAAAAGCCAGTAGAGAACCTATTTAAAATGTGCACTTTTTATGAATAAGGATTCCAGAAATGAAAATTGTGCAGTATTTTAGATACTGACCAATTCAAGCAAAGCTTCCCCAATCTTTTTTTATATATTTAACTTTTACTGATGAACACACACCTTGTTCTGAAAGCTGGGTAATGTTTTGTATGGACTGCTGCAACTGCTTGAGTGCTGGCTTAACACTTTTGACCTGTCCGCTGTTGAGGTTGTGGCACACTAGGAGCACTAGGTAGAATACCTGATGTAAAAAAAGGAAAACTCTCAACAAAAATTCTAAAATAAAGGTCTTTTTCCTGACCATAGAAGCTTTTCCTCACTATTAAATATTAAAATTCATTCATTCATTATGTTTCACACTTTAATGATGTGGAAAATAGCCCAGAGAAAAAAGGAAATTAATATAGTAAAAGGTTTTACAGTACTGTAGATATTTAAGAAATCAAGCATTGAATGTGATGAAACATCCTTTCTGGTAAGCTCTCAGTAGCTCCCTGTAGTGTACACACTGGTATAGCCAAACCAAATTATTGACCATAATATTTTTTCTGCCTCTAATTAGCTTCTCAAGTAAAATCTGCTTCTATAATTGGTATGAAGGATAAGAATCCTCCATCATTCTTATCCTTTAATTTTAATACAAGGAAAATATGATGCATAAATAAGTTTAGGTAACTGTTAAGAAATTCGCACTCTGTATAATATTAATGAAATACCGTACTTCTGTAATGGATATATAAAGCAGGTCTCCCATAATGAGGTGCACTTGTTTCATTATAATAATGTACAGGCAGTACTGCTATATCAAATACACAAAGTAGGGTTCCTACCCTGAGGTGTTCCTTCTGTCCTTGTGCTCCATTATACTGTTCAACACTCTGGTTGGCTTGAGCAAGTAAGGTCTGAACTTCTGCAGCTACACGGCCCTCCAAAAGCATCACCTATGGTTATAAAATTGTGTATTTAGAGAAGTTAGTGGTATAAACTTGAACAGTGAACACTTATAAATTACATGAGCAGTGACTTTATTTAAAATAAACATTAGGATGTTGGAGGGTCAAGCATCATTGTCTCCACACTAAGTTTTGGATGTGAATCTAGTGCCACTTGACCCTTACATATTTTCATATAATATGCAGCAGTATGGTATCCACATTCTCTATACGTGGAGCTTTAAGGCCCTTTCTCCCATTGTGATGTCTTAAAAAGGGCTGATGATCAACAGTCTGTTTGAGGAAAAGACAAGGAACTGGGTTGAAGCAATAGGCCAATAAGAAAAGGAACTGCAGCTAAGGCAGCCACAGTAGTGCTAGTAGTACAGTAATATCACATAGCAGCATCCCAGCTGGAGGAAAGAACTAGATTAACTAAAACTGGTTCCAATTGAAATGTATGCAAAAACAACCAGCGTTGAATGTAATGAAATGTCATTTTCTGGGTGAGACCCAGAGGCTCCCTGGAGCTATCAGACTAATATACGCTATACTGTATTAGTCTGGGGCATCGGTCAATGGAGTTCAGCCTACCTGGGACCACGAGCCAAAACCTGGCCCCCTCAGAGAGGAACAGGGAGCAATGGTCTATGGAAACCCTCATGTGGTTGGGAGAATTCCATGTCTGCCAACAACCAGGGGTTAGGCACCCAGAAAAGTAGGCATAACAAAACAGACCCCACTTGGTAAGAAATTACAACTGAAGACCAAAACGATAGGCAAAAACTCGAGGAGAAGATCGAATCAGCCACCTAACAAACCGGACCAATCATCTGAAAGAGGCGGAGCAGCGAGAAAACCCCTGGGTTCGAACACCGAGCAAGCAGAGCATGAAACCAAGGCTGGACCAGCCACCAAGGAGTCAAGAGGACTATTCTCCTCTGGTAAATCTCCAAGCGAGCTAGGACCTGGAGTAACAGTGGAACCAGGGCAAAAAGATACAGGTAACCCCACCTTGACCAGTCCTACTGAAAAGCATCAACCCCGACAGCCACACAGTCGGGGAAGGGCGCCACATACAGTATATCGGGAGACGCCTCAATCACGCCGACACGAAGAGGTCCACCTTTGGGAACCCGTATGTCCGGCAGAGCCAATTGAATGAGTCGGCGTCGACTGTCCATTCCGAGGACAGGGGAATGAACTGAGACAGGCTGTCCGGCAGGACGTTGGACAACCCCCGAACCAGGGAAATGGCCAGGAGAGCCAGACACTGAGAACTCAGCAGACAAGTCACCTGAAGTGACCAGCCCCAAAGAGCCAAGGACCGCATCGAACCCCTCCCCCCCCTCGGTTCTGGCAATGAACCACCGGGGAGCAGTCCGAATGGATCTGGACCTTCGATTCGCGAGCGACCAGAATCTCCGAAGCGACATCCACACCGCAGGCGAACTCCCATACCATGCTGTGGGCCCAATGTAACGACGGACCCCACTGCCCCTGGCTGGCCTCATGAGCACTGAGAACAAGAAACAGGAACTGGAGTCACACGACCAAGCTTCAAGTACATCAGCCAAGAACTGGGGTATGGGGTAGCCGGCGGGAGGGTTCTGGGGCTCCCCCTTCCCCCTCCCGGGAAGGGGTAGCCGGCGGGAGGGTTCTGGGGCTCCACCTTCCCCCCTCCCAGGAAGGGGAAATGGGGAGCTGCACAGACGGCAGCACAGCATGTGATGATGTCATGCTCATTTGCTTGTTTTTCTTTGGGGGTGCTCTATCCACTCGTTTGACTTTTAACAGTAGTTTAAACCAGAATATTGGTTTGTTTTGGGATGCTTACCTTTCTTGGTGCCTGACCTGGTCAATGGCAGGCATAGAATGCTCAAAATCACATGTGAAATTTTATAGGCCATTGCTCCTTGTGCCTCTCTGAGGGGGCAGGTTCTGGCTTGTAGTCCCTGTAGGCCTAAGAATGCCATTCACACTGACTGATGCCAAAGTCTAATATATCTAGATCAGCCTGGATAAGCTCCGGGGAGCTGAAGGAGCTCCCCCCAGAAAATATGTACATGTCTCAAGCTTCAAGAAGCCACCCATTGAGATAAAGGTTCAAACAAGGGAACCTCCCCCTTCCCAAATTATGACAAATCACAAACCCAAGAGTGAAACTATCTCAACCCTACAGAAAAAAAGTAGGATACAAGTGGGATAATTGTAAGGGCAAGACCATGACTGGCAACCCTCCAAGCCACAGGTTTAGCATGTACAAGTCACCTGGATGTTTCACCAAACTGCCAAGCACCAAAATGGTTTGCCAAACTGCCAAGCATCAGGATGGTTTGCCAAACTGCCAAGCAACTGGTTGGTGTGCCAAACTGCCAAGCAACTGGTTGGTGTGCCAAACTGCCAAGACTATTAATTAAAGACGTACACTAACACAAAGCTACAACACTTGCATCAGTGTGTCACGTGATACTCTGTCTCACAATACTGGGAGTCAAGTTTCAAATGTTGGCATTCAGTCCAATTGTAATGATCTGGGGCTCAGATCATTGGTTCTCCCTTCTCCCCTCTTTTCCCTCCCCTTCTCCCCTCCTTTCCTTCTCCCTCTCCCCTCCTTCCTTCTCCCCTCCCCTTGGCCGTCATTCGTCTCCTCCTCTTCCCCCCCCCCCTGTCGCCCATTTGTCAGGGTCAAGAGGTTGACCTGAGGGTAGGGTGGTCGTGGATACCTTGGCTTCTCCCACTCAATTCCCCACTCAGATATTTCCCTCTCCACCCCCTCTCATCCCACCGCTGCCACCATTGTAATAACCCAATGTTCCCCAGTATTAATCCTGTTATCTTGTGATCTCTCATAATCGTAATATACGCTTTCTGTTGTAATTCTCCGTCTCTCTTCACTCAATACCCCAGCTTAACGCTGTTACAGTCCAGCATGACCCCTCACTGGACTGCCACGTATATAAGAGGAATATTAAATGAGGAAGATACACCAAGGACAAGGGTTATTCGCTTATTACTAATTATAAAATAAAAACCATTAAAGCACTGCCACCACCTTCCCGACCAACCATACCTGAATGTGTCTATCACCGATCCCCCAGGAAGGCAAGGAATCAGTAACCATGGGACTCCGGGTAATATGAATTACAGTAATAAATTTTGGAAAATTAGTTTGTGTAATTTACGTTAACTTATTTGAATCCAAGGGCAACTTTAGTATCTATTAATAGTAGGAGAACATGGGGGCTTCCAATACAACACCTAAAAATGACAAAGTAGCAAAATATATCAAAGGGGAGTTAAGTGAATACCACTGGACAAGCTATACAATTTATTTTATGAAAACATGTAAATTAAGACAATTTGAACACATCACCTATTCTATTTCCCTAGAGGCACAATGGATATTTACCGAGGACACAAAACTCAAGTGCTACTCTACCTTAAATACCTGCACTACGGCCACGATGTTGATGGCTGCCCTCAGCCCCGAGGATACGGGCTTGCGGCCCTGTTCCTAATACACTCCCAAGACACACTGATCAAATTTAGTTTTTCCAACTTATTGCTGGGAAGGATTACTCCTCCCACCATCTAGTACAGCCCCAGGGCTCCACCCATTATTTTGGCACTGGCCAACCATTTAACACGTAGGCCTGAGGTCTGGCTCTCTAGGGCCAATAAGGACTTGGCCCTTATCTCAGGCCAATCACCTTCACTGATCTGTCGTGGAAAGCTACATGAATTACTGAAGAATGAGTCAGCTCTCCCCAGCTAGAGAAGGGGGACAAGGCGCGTCTATGGAGCCCAGACACCTGCGAGCAATGTTTACAAAACTGATAATTAATGTTCAAGCCTGTCTCCTCTAAGATAGGAGTAGGGACATTTGACTCTGCCTGGTATGGGGAAGGCCGCTGCTGAGAGGGACAGAGAGGGATGAGAGGGGGTGGAGAGGGAAATATCTGAGTGGGGAATTGAGTGGGAGAAGCCAAGGTATCCACGACCACCCTACCCTCAGGTCAACCTCTTGACCCTGACAAATGGGCGACAGGGGGGGGGGGAAGAGGAGGAGACGAATGACGGCCAAGGGGAGGGGAGAAGGAAGGAGGGGAGAGGGAGAAGGAAAGGAGGGGAGAAGGGGAGGGAAAAGAGGGGAGAAGGGAGAACCAATGATCTGAGCCCCAGATCATTACACAATCATCTAGTGCATACTACTCTAAGTGCTGTGGATTAATTGTTCTTTTGTTATAATTAAATATAAGCACACAAAACAATTCAGCAGTTCTTCTGTGTACACCTAGGTAAAATGTCAACCCATAAAAGAAGGTGATATTATACACCTACTTAAGCTATGAGATATTGAGATATTGAACAAAAGCATGATGCTTGTTGTAACCTGGTCCTTGCAAGTATTGTCCATTCTATTCCCATGTCCTACATTTACCCAGTGATTTTGAGCCAGTCTTCCTCGCATACAGTATTTCCATCCATTTAAGGTTTAGGGATTGGTTAGGATTTCTGGTGAGGTTCCCATAACTTTCACAACGTTGACATATATAGGTGTCTGGAAGCTTCAGCTGTTCAGGGTTCAAGTCCTGGCCTACTTTGAAGACTCTTTGATATGGGCTTCCAGTTGCTGATCTTTTCTGTCAGTCAGGGATTTGATATTTCACATGGTGGCACAGTTCAGGTTCATTGACAACTTCTTGTAGTCCCAGTTCTCACTCATATATTGTTGTTTGTGGCTCGGGTTCGTTTGGGATACCAGGATAGTTGCCCCTCTCCTTTCTGGAGTCTGTATTGCACAAGTTGATCCCAAATCTTAGTATAGTGCTTGGCAGGCACTTGATTTCCTGTAGAAATCTTGAGCATATGCTGAGTCACCTGAACTTTGTCTGAGTGGTTTATATCCAGTGCCAAATGGTGTGGAATGTGCAATATGAATTTCTTAAGTGGTCACTGCTTTCCTGGCTCTGGGACAAACTGTGTGCGCGCTTCATTAGGCCTGAAGGTTCTCCTAGTTTAGTATTTTCCCCTAACAAATCTAAAAGACACATGTAAAGGTGATTTGTCACAGCAGCGATGAGTCAAGTCAACGGCAGCCATATCAAATGTAGTAACACAAGGCAATTGGCCTTTAGAAAACAAATTACAAGCTATCATTGAAAGACAAAGAAAGATTTTTCAGCATCACAAAGCTGTTATTAAATCTGCAAAGAGGAATCCTCAAGTTCTTTTAATCTAATTTCCCAGACAGCCATCAGAGGAAATTCAAATGAATCAGCTGGAAGTAAGAGATCATCAAGTTTGCACATCATCATCAAAGATATCACGGACACCTTGTTAGGTTTGCTAAGGAAGAGGAGTAACATTTTCAATATCAATGAAAATCAAGAGAAGCTGCGTTAAGTCAACCATCGTATGAGGTGGTTGCTAGACTCGGCATGCCATCCCTGGACATTTAATTCCGATAGGCACTATGTTACAGAAAGCACTACAATAAAACACTAGGTAAGTAAAAGCGTTTACATAGTTCAAAAAAGTTGGCCACTATCAATTTACTCACACACATAATGTGAACATTATTAGTTTTTGTGTGATAATTTCTCATTTTATGTAGTTAGGCTAATGTTAACTTAATAGTGTGATTAAGATTTGTTATTCAGCCAGCCATATTTTTATTGTTGATCTTTGTTTATTATGTCTCTACATGATGATTGTGCCATATTTACTTAGTAAGTGATTATATTTACTAGTTGACAAGGAACCAGCTGAAGTGAAATTTATTGCCATTATAAGTGGGTTTTAATGTTTATTTTATGGACAGGAGCTACATAGTGGTGATATAAAAATGTGATAATACAATACTTAATTATAAACAGTGGGAGGGATTGGACCTTTTACTATAGTACTGTATATATTTTGGGTTTCTGGCATACGAAATAGTAAGAATACACAAAATACTACAACAATCTCTTTTAAATACATGAGTCCCTGTCATTATTCTTCAAAGTGATACAAGCACTCACCATAATTTTGCTTAAAAGGAATAGCAGCTGTGTGTAGGCAACACCCTGAATATGACAGTATTCCAGGCCCATTTGCAAAAGACCACCAGCCGTTGCATAGTCAAATTCCACTAGCCCTAATTGCTGTAAATGACATTAAAGTTATTAAGAATTCTGAATACTTTAAATAAAAAGAAAAAATTATTATTTTACTAGTTAAATTATATAACTACAACTGTATAAATTTGTCTTTTTCTTTTATTTTGGAGGTTTTAATTAATTCATTAATTATAATACCTATAACATTACAATTCATTACATGAAAACATTAAACTGGCTACAAAAATGATCAAATGGTGAATGTAATAAAACACTACTTTTTGGGTGGTTCCTCAGTAGCCTCCTTGAACTTAAGTGCTACTGCAATATCATGGAGCCTTTGGATCATACCAAACCCTTGAGACTTATGTAAGCCTACCTGGAACCAGCAACAAAATCTGGTTCACTCAAATTGGTGAGGGAAGAATGGGTGTCAAGAGATTGACTAAAAAATTGAGGAAACTGTCCAGAAGATCCAGGAAAAAAAAAAAGCTCAAAAGAAAGAAATGAAAAGGGGGAAAACAAGGCAAACAATAAGCAGCAACAAGTAAACAACTCCAGCACAATTTGCCTGGCTTCACCAGGACAGGGGATAACCCAGGTCACCTGGGGTCCAAATCTGCCACCTGACTCACTTTTGAACTGCCAATACAAAACCCAAAATCCCATGGTAATGAAGGGAACAACAATACTGGAATGGAGAGCAATTTAGGAATCGCCCAGAAAGGGGTACAGTATTTTGTTACATTTAATGCTTGATTTCTGACCAACAAAACACTTATAGAAGGAGAAAGAGTTTGGCTTAAAATAAGAGAAGGCTAAAATGAGGAGAATGATCACCTAGACCAAAAAAACAGAACCAATGCTCAGAAGTTATATGAAGCCAAGTAAGAATCACTTAACACAATCCAACCAGACACAAAAATTACACACTAGCATACAGCTAGCTGTATCAGCCCCTCATCAACCAGCCTAACACTGGCAATGAAGTCCCAAGCACAAGTGTATCTGGAGACAAGTATACTCAAAATGTCAACTAATTCCCTGTAGAGTAGATAACTCTGGTGGAGAAAGGGAAATACATATCAACAGCCTGGGAACATGTAATGTGAGGGTGGTATAAATACATTTGTGAAGCAAAAATAGGAAAAAATAACAAATTACTGTATATAATAGCCCCCACACACGACAGTTACACCAAGGAAACCCAATACCAGTTAACTTAAAAAAGCAGCAAAAAGACCCCATCTGGGGCGGTATGACCTGAACAGTACCTGGAGAATGAAAGAGGCAGGTGGCTGATTGGTACCCCAGGCCTGCCACCTGGTACCAGCTGGTCAAACTAATGCTGAAGTTTTTCACTCATTGCCAACAATCATTTGCCATGTTATCTTCTTTTCATTTCTTACCTTTGAACAGTGGTCTGTTTTGTTTCTCCTGGACTTTCTTCAATGGTTCTCTCATTATAAGTAAATCTCTGATTTTCAATTTTCCCTTGCCACGTTGAGTAATTTGTGTATATCTCTGGGGGCCTGGTATAATCTGAAGGCTCTAGTGCTAGCTTCTAAGCCTCAAATTATATTTTTGTCAGACGGAGCTTTTAACTCCATCTAAACTGATTCTGAAATGAGAAGACTGTTCCAGGAATTGATAACTTTGCATAAAATGACAAAATTAAACTTACAGCCGTTTGAAAGATTAGACGACAATGCCAATACACACTCTGTCGAGATAACTCAATTGCACGACGTAACAAAGATTTCGCATTGCTAGCACCTCCAGTCTGCTCATATAATTTTGCCAGTTCACTTGCAGCCTCAAATCGTACATCATCAAATCCAGCAATATTCATGGACAAGGTCCACTGTTGGAAAAAAGATATCATTAAATCATTTATCAGGAGTAATTTTTTCCATAATCAAACTGCAGTATTATCTAACTAAGGCCTCTGTAAGAATGTATTGTATACAGTGAGTCAGTGGCAGTATTAGGTAGCTAAGACTATAACCAAATTTTTTTTTAAATAACATTTACAATTTTTGAAAAATTTCCGTTATCAATAAATTATGTTTGGAGACTATTTTGTCAAATTGCTATGACAGGTTTACTTTTTTTAAATGCTTCACATTGCTTGTTGGATTTTTTTTTTTGACAAAGCTATAAATTGCCATCCACACTTCCATGGAAATAAACATAAGGAATGTTGTATAAGGAATGAGTGACCATAACCAAATCATATTTCATCAACTGCACCCATACAGCCATTGCACCAGAAACTCCACTGTTCAGTATTAGTAATGAGAAACAGATGTGGGAGTACATCACAGTTGTGTAATGTCAATGTTCTATAGTTTGTTAGAGAACAAACGAAAGGGTGTCAAAGGAAGCCTAGTGTACTCTCAAGAGTATTATGAGAATTGTCTGAATAATGAACCCCTACCTTACCAAAGGATTGTGAATAGGTTTGCCTGTGGTCAGGGTCAGGATAATGAGGTCCCTCTTGGCTAACTACTAACTTTCCCAGAATGTAACCCACAACAATTGTTTAACTCCCAGATCTATCTACTACTAGATGAACAAAGCATCAAGTGAAATGTAACATGCCCATCTATCTCTGTCCTACTCTGGAATTGAATTTGGGAACGTCGGTTATAAGCCAACAATATGGACCATTGCACAGTAGGATGTTGGGATACATTGGTCCATCAGGTGCTGTTCTATTGAGATGCAGGCCCATAGGCCAATGTTCCGTTTGGATAAATTAATACATAATTTACCTGAAGTTACCTGAGGGCCACAATCTCTCTAGTGGCCTTGATGGAGACAGGAAGCCGGCAGCTTGTCAAAGATATCCCCTTGTTCCTGAAGTAAAAGTTTAATGCCATCAGCATTTGGTGTTCTCAGCAGTCACTCATCCAAGTACTAACCAAACTCAATGCTGCTTAACTTCATTGATTGGACGAGAAGTGGTGTTTTTAATGTGGTACAGTATTCATGAGTAGCGCAGTACTAAATTTGTGTATCCTGTATCTAAATATAACACATGGAATGGGTGTCTTCTAAAAAGTGCAGAGCCCTATGGGTGTGTATTCAACATATTCACAATCCTTAGGTTAGGTAGGGGTTCATTACTCGGACAATTGTAAAATTACTCTTGAACAAGCATAGTGCAATCTGATATAGTCCACTTCCAATGATATGTGAAATGTTATTGTGATTACTGATTGCAGTCCCCGACTGCTCATTGAATGACAGTTTTGGAGAGTTGGGTGGTGCTCGGCACTTGCCTTTCTGGGAAGAGCCAGAAGTTGCCAAGCATACACAGTGCTATATGTTTACCTGCTATAAGGCAAAGTTACTATCCCATGACAGTTGACATCTTAACCATAAGGCTTAGAGTTTTACCCTGATAAGGGTTCTCTGGACACGTTTCCTGTGCTGTCATGGCCCCTAAATCAATAATAACACACTTAGGTTTCAATAAAATTAATGTGCAGTTGAAATGTGATATATTATCGAAACCGAGGTAATACCCACTGCCTGTTCCAGGTGATCCTGAGCCAGCTGTGTGTTGTTCGTGTACTGTATGAGAAGGTTTGCCAGTTGAAGGTGGGTGCGAGCCTCAACCTTAGGTGGAGGGCGGAAGGTCAGTACTGCTTGCAGGCACTGCAGGCAACTCTTGATGTTGGCGGGCTCTTGGGTTCGAAACCTCTCGGCCAGTGCTAGCAGGGACAGGTAATATGCATCTTGAGAATTGGCCATAGCCTCGACTTGAGGAGGTGTGGCGAGGCTCTCCAACAACCCAGAGAGACGCTCCTCCCGCGACCCAGTAAAGTGTAAACAATCAGCTTTCGAGACTAGTCGAAATTATCTAGATCGTCCACAAGGTCAACTAAAAATATAACAATACGCACTACAATTTATTCACGTCAAATGTTAGGATATAACTAAAAGAGTAAATTGGTGCTTTGTTATGTTTAAATGGACATATTTTGGCGAAAATTAAACATAGTGTGGATGTGAACGCGTCTCAGGTAGCAGGAAAACATACATCCTATTGACCATTAATGTTGGTTCTCACTCGCGGTCGCTCATCTTCTCTCCTACGTGGAGTTGTGTGAGTCCACCGAGGACACTAGACTTGTATATCATGCGCGCATGTGGCCACATAGTGATTTGTGGAGACAGGAGAGGGAAGTATTAAAAGGTGAGTGTTGTGTTGGGCCGTGGGCGGTGTGGTAGTGCAGGCGTCAGCTGACCTACACTGGGCAAAATTCCTGTTTTGATGATGTAGCTCCATAAGTCTCTGTTCAAGCACAGAATGGTAGTCACTCCCAATGGGGGTTAGGCCTGGATATGGGGAGTGTTTTTGGGCTCACAAGTGGGGTAGACCTACGACCGGTGCCATGGGTGTAAAGTGATGTTCAAGCTGCTTGAATGGAGGGGATGGAACACTTGCCACTCCTTCTATTATCTACCTCTGCTCACTACTGGACATATTTTGTCTTCTCCGTGTTTCTTTAGGTTGTCAAGCTTTCCTGTTAAACTATGAATATTAGCCAGCCCTCAGTGAGCTGATGAATGATTAGGTGCTCCCAATACATTCTGGCAGGTTTTATTACAAGTTGCTCCATTTATAATTCACTCAAAACCTGAAGTTACTGTCTATCCTAACCCAACTTATCCTTTAATTACCTCAGAAATTGCTGTGGATCATTGTGGATTCATTGACCCTTATCAGCATTATCAAAGACAGAGTTGAAATGGTTACAAGTTTTGTTGTTTAAGATTCGCTACTTGGAACAAGAAGTTCCAAGTAGCACGGGCTATGGTGAGCCCGTAGTGGACTTACCTGGCACAGGAGCGGGGCTGTAACTGGTACAAGTTTTTGTGCTGCTGGATATATATAGCTGGGGATGAGGTAAAGATGAAGCACCTTAGTTATGGGCTAATAGGTCCATTGCACCTTACCAATCTCCTATGTTTCCATGATGGTTGGGGACAATATTTGTATGCTTTGTCATGCTCTCGAAGATGGCAGAGTGTAATTTCCCTGCTCTGGTGGACTGTGACTACTTATGGGAGCCCATGAAATCTAATAAAAATTAGATTTGATAATTTGATATAAAAAATTTTCTCTTGATATAAAAAATTATAATAATAATAGTTCATTATGTTAAGGGAAGAGACAGCCAGTGTATATATGTACATGTTAGGCCTCTATCAAGGTCAGTACCATGTGCCTACAATGTAAATATAATATACATATACTGGTGATACTCTTGTTATCTTTCAAAGTCCAGCCACTTTGACTGGACGGTAGAGCGTCAGTCTCGCTTCATGCAGTTCGGCGTTCAATCCCTGACCGTCCAAGTAGTTGGGTACCATTCCTTCTCCCCGTCCCATCCCAAATCCTCCTCCTGATCCCTTCCAAGTGCTATATAGTCTAATGGCTTGGCACTTTCCCCTGATAATTCCCTCCCTCCCTCCATGATGGCTGGGGCAATATATATTATATGTTTAGTCATGCTCTCGAAGATGGCAGAGTGTAATTTAGTGTTAGTTGGCTGTTGATAGTTGGCTTGGTTTGCTTGATATACTGTATAATGCTTCACCGATGACCCGTCATCTATTGTTGACAATAGAAGGTTGGACATCGGAGAAATATGCAGAAATATGTTTCAATAACACTGACGGTGCTTGTATAACACAAAAACCTCAAGGAGGCTAAACAAAATGTTGAAAGAAAACATTTGAAGGAAATTTATGAAATCTGCAGCCATCAAGCACTCCAATAAAGTTGAAAAGAATTATTGAACTCTCAGTTTTGCATTACAACATAATAAATTGGGAAAGGCTAAATGCCTAACATATCTTTTGTGACGGGTTGTGGTATCGCAGCTATACTGAACCAAGATGGTATGGCTCTCCCTCACACAAATAAAAAAAAAAATGCTGCTGCTATTGGCAGCAGTGTGTAAGTCGCAGGTGGAAACAAATGAAAATCATCAAATAAATAATTAAACAATTTGCTGAAATAGTAATAAACAAAAATGGCACATGACAATACTTGGCTATCATGTAATGCAAAGGTGAACAAGTTAGTATGACCTTAAATGCAAAAATAAACTACAGTATAAGCAATGAATAAAAGCATAAAGATATACTGGTGTACTGAAGACAGCTACCATACCACTATGGCATCAGTCACACGATGTTGGCTGGAGGCGGACGACGGGTGAGAGACACGAAAGTGATCCTAGAGCACTAAGGGAGAGACTGGCTCTCCATGGAGGCAGCGTCCTTTATATAGTCCGGCAGTGATGACTCATCCAGTGTCAACGCAAGGTGGACATCTGGTCAACTAGTAAACTGCTCGCTGTGACTGGCAGTGCCTTTGTGTTGAGCTGCACCACTGCCAGTTGAAGGTGGCTAACTGCTTGTTTGTGGGGGAAAACTACCGGTTAGCAGAGACGCCCGGCTTGCCTCTTGAGTCGTACTAGGCCGTGCCAGGACTGATGACTCATCTGGGCAGGTGTAGATGTAGACTTCCAGTGCAGAGGTATTGAAGGTGAAGGGAAAAGGCAGTTCCACTGCAATGCAAGGGATTCACGTGCCACTTTCCACTGTGTATCTTTCCACTGTATGTTTTGATAATTCATTACAAATGAAACATCATTTTAGTCAACTGTGCTACTCTACTTGATGTTTCTGAATATCATAATCAGCAATTTGTACTCTGTTCAATCAAATTTAATCAAATGATAGAAAATTATTTGCTAAATCCAGAAAATAAAAATATTATATTGATTTTATACCCATAACCAGGCCTTAACCTTAGTCCAGTACAATACAGTACTTGCAAGCAACTTGTACAGGTAATCAATATTATTTATGTACTATATTTATTGCAGGTGAACATTCTCCATTTAGTCATTATTTCCTGCTGAAACACCCAGACTCCCAACAGCTTCTTCGGATGGTTTCTCACCTATAATGTCCAATATGGATTTTGAGAGTCCTGACGTAGAGAAGGAGTTTCCTGGTCTCTACGCTTCTGAGTCCTCTAGACGCAGCGATAGTGATTGTGAGTGTTCATAGCAACAAAACCTATTTATTGATTTTTTTATTATGATTCAGTAGCATGTTACTAATAAGAGTTGGTCAGTAATAAAGATTCGGGATGATTAGAGATGTATTTGGACACATTAAGTAACTCATTAATATGCTGGCATTCCTCAAAGTGTCTTGATTACTGGTATTATTATTACTACACATGATTAAATATTTTATTGACATTTCATTTTTGTAAATAAGATTAAGAATAACTGAAAAGCAAGAATTTGAAACTTGACATTTTATGGCACGGAAGTAGTTACTCATGCAGCACACAGCTAGATTTAAATAATAAGTACTCATCAAACGTTCCTGATCTGTTTTCAGAATTATTTTTAAATCTGTTCCAGTAGAAGTTGATATGAATGATAATGGACTGTTATTTCTTCATGAGTTAAGGTGATAATATCCTCTGTTTCAATTAATAGAACAGTTTGATTATTACATCTCCAAGGTACATAGTAGACTATGAACAGACCTCACTCGTGCAATGTATTGCGACAGCATCGTCTTCAGAAATAACAGGCAGAGTCACCAAGGACTGACATTGGGGGGGGGGCCCAATAGAGGGGGATGGCAAATGTCCCAATGACTGGAAACATAAGCTGACAAAGATCAAATTTTTTATTACCATAATGTACATATAAAATATTTACAGTGGCACCTCGACTTACAGCTACCCCTACTTAGGAATTTTTCTAGTTACGACGTAAATTTTGTCGGAAAATGTGACTTGACTTACGACCTTTGCCTTGACTAGCAACTTTGTTGATACGCGTTTGGGTCGACCGAGCGAGTAGTTCCTGTGGCATAGGCTGACCCAGCCTCAGTTTACCAGAGTCGCCTGCTTAGTGATGATCTCGCTTGTAAAGAATTCCAATATCTTTGTGCTTTTTTGTTTTTTGAACATAAAACTAATTATTATATATCATGCCATGGGTCCCAAGAAAGTCAGTGGTAAGGTTCAATCTAAGAAAACACACATATGATGATGACCATAGAGGAAAAAAAAAAAGATATTGGTGAACATGAAGATGGTGTGTGCGGATTGTTGATCTAGCTAGGCAGTACAGTACAACAAATCCATGTCAACGATATCCACCATACTTGCTAAGAAAAGGGACATTATGAGTGCTAAAGTGGCACAAGGTGTATCAATAATCACGAAAAATAGAACACAAACACTTGAGGATGTTGAAAAGTTATCATTAATTTGGATACACAACAAAAAGTTAGTGGGTGATAGCGTTTCAGAGGCCATCATTTGTGAAAAAGCAAGGCTATTGCATGAAGATCTTATAAAGAAAACCCTTAGAACGAATGATGCAGATACAAGAGAGTTTAAGGCGAGAAGAGGATGGTTTGAGAAATTTAGAAAAAGAAGTTGACATAGTGCTCTGAGAGTTGAGTGTTGTGAGTTGGTGGAGGAACACAGCGAAGAACTGACCACCGAGAACTCCAAGTCCTTCACAAGGAGCAGCAACAAGAGGCAGCTGAGGAAATTTCTTCAGGGAAGGAGGAGGCAGTAGAGAATGTCCCTTCTTCAACAATTAAGAAAATGTGTTCATTATGGGAAGAACTGCAAACTTTTGCTCAAACGAATCACCCAAATCAAGCTGCAGTAGGCCGTTGCCTTAACCTTTTTAATGACAGTGTGATGCATCACTACAGAGAAATGTTAAAACGTAGGGAAAACAAATCTCTATGGAAAGATTTTTAGTGAGGAAAACAAGCAGTGAGCCACAAGCAGGTCCTAGTCGTATGCAGGCAAAATGTGCCAGAGAGAGTACCCCAGAAAAGTCATCACTGCCTGATGTTATAATGGGACTCCCCTTCTAAACACTAACACCTCTTCTTTCCCCTCTCTTCACCGTCTTCCATACGCCAACAAGAGTCCTCATTCAAGGTGACATATTACCTTGAATACTATATTGTAGCTTGTACAAAATGAGTGTTATTCGGTATAAAATGTATTTTTAAGTTAATATTTTTGAGGGTGTGGAACGGATTAATTCAGTTTACATTATTTCTTATGGGAAAATTTGTTTCGACTTACAAAATTAAGTGAAATTGCAGTACAGTACTCAGTAATTGTAATATGTGGCAGGGAAAAATCAGATAGTAAATGTAATGAAATGCCTTTTTCTAGTGAGATCCTGAGCAGCTCCCTTGTACTGTGTGCTGATTAAGCTATGTCTTAGGGAGAAGTACTAGGTCTCTGAAACACCCTGCCATACTGCATGCCAGGATTGAAATCTGATTCACTATGAAGCAAAGGGAGCTTGGGGATCAGAGAAATACCCCTCTAGAAAGCATAAGTGCAACAAAACAAAGAACTGCTGGAACAAATTTAGGATTAATCCTGTTCTTTTGGGCACAGGAGAAGGTAAAGAATCCAACAGGCATGTCCCAAGGGTACAAGGGAGAACTGAAGTAGGCTCCACAGCCTCTTTTAAAGACCTCTTAGAGAAAGTGGCTCCTAAAGCTGAATCCAGCAACTCTAAACCCACATCCAAACCAAGATTAAAAGCCATAAAATTTAATAGACATACCAGCTGCCCAGTGGTATAGAAAACTGGCGAAGGGGTTGAGAGAAGCTGTTTTTAAAAACCGTCCAGTTTTTAAGTAGACTTTAAGTAGACTGCCTCTATTGTCCAGTCCACTTGGACTGGATGGTAGAGACAAGGCCCGGATAGATTTAGCAGAATTCCACATAGAATCAGCTTTGTTCCATATAGTATTGCATACAGTATACAATACTCAAATTTTTGTTAATTACTTTATTAATATTATTTGTATATTTTCTTGGCCCCTCAGAAGTTCTGGTTCCAAGAAGCCTTGGTATTTCTACTTTATCGGTGGGCCTGCTAACAGAGAATGGTTACACAATAGGTCATTCTGTATAGAGCACCCACCAGTATACTATTGACTGGTGCTATATATGACCCATTACATAACCATTCCCTGTTGTTCCCAGAAGCAGCACTGACAAAATGTTTTATAAATTGTGGTCCCTACTTTGTATTTGGCATTTTCTTCACATGAACATTTACATTAATTTCTACTTTAGATACTTATTTTTTTTAGGTTAATAATTTTCAAAAGAATTTAATTTCAGCTTAGCAACTACAGTACTGTGCATATTTTGGAAGTAAAACCACAGTACGTGTATATATATTTTTGTAAATTAAACTCTGGTACAGTGCACATGAATGCAGTGTGATCGGTGAAAACGGTTTCTTCTTCAACTTCTAGTTCAATTTCCTTGTACTTACATATAAAGAGGAAGTAATTTCTTACTTATGTTGTCCTCGACTCCAGAAGGATTTAAGGAAATTTTGCAGTTTCATAAGCTTTTCATGTACTGTACTGTAAATCATGGTTTATGTTCCCTTGAATGTTGCCAATGCATGGAACTAAGTATGTTGAAGCATGTGAACTTTTTGGCTGTGATATATCTACATGTAGCTAACTGGAAACACATCAGTTGTCCTTGTTTAAATCTGTACTTTTTATGGTGGGGACAATACAGTTCACTGTTTCTTGTTACACAGTGCATCAGTAAGACAATAAATTCAAATCCTCTTGATATTATTTCTGATTATTGGGTATTACCTACCATTTTACATGTATAAGAGTAGTGTTCACAAAATGTAAACATAGCACTTAGCTTGATGCAAGCAATCAGTTTAGTTTTTAAAGCCTCTTACTAAACATTCAAGACAGTTATTCTTTGAGAAATTAAAAGAAATATCAGGGAACAATGTAAATTTGTTTTCATATATACAGTACTAACTTTTTTCACATGTAAGTTGATTATTACAGTACTTATTGCTTGCTTTGTTATACAGTATTCATAATCTTTGTTATCATTAATCCTTCCCAGCCCATTCTTGTTTTCTAGTTGCTTTGTCCCATACTGAAATTTTAAAGCTGCCTGTGATAATAGCATGAGAAGTTGGTTTGTCAGCTGTTACAGTTACTCAAAGCATTGCCTATTCATTGCATAATTGAAAACAAAAGAACACTGCAGCATCACAAGATTATAACTGAATTGACATCAAACAGTTGTCTTTATTTTAGTTGACAACTAATAAGCCAGAGAATATAAATGTGTTCTGCAACAAAAAGATTAAAAGGGCTTGGGAGTAAAAAACTTTAAGAACAGATTACAGGTCAGCTGCAGGTAAATTACTTGGCAAAATTACTCAACCAGTCACATTTGTTAAAATTTAACTTCATTCTGAGGTAAATATATTCACTAGGGCATCTTGAGTTTATTATTATTTGAATTGCAGTGCTCTTCATCAGCCCAAACAAGTATTGAAAAATTTGATTGTGTAGCAGTGATGGATACTTTATATTTCAAAGTACAGTACTGTAAATAATGCTGGCTAATTTATATTTCTCAACAAACCTCTTCCAAGGTTGTTGTTACAATGTTTAAATTCATTATAACCCAGAAAATGTTTTTCATGATCACAATATTATAATACAGTATTCATGTTAAGAATTCTTCATAGCTGTGGATGCTCTGTATACAGTTGACAAGACCAGTCAGCCCCCCCCCCTCCCCTTCAGATTCTTTCAGTTCATGTTCTTGTAACAGATTGGTAACTATTATACCTGGGTATTATGAGCTGTTTTAAAGGAGGTTTTAATGTGTTTTTCCGTGTTTTATAAGCATCTTTGACTTGATCTGCACAATGTGTGTGGTTTTTCTTACTGTGTTTGTCTACCCCTAACAGTGTAAGCACGAGACTGAGTTGCAGAGGTGATATGCTTGATGATCTAATTTGCATGTCACTCGTAAGGTAGAGCAGGTAATGTAGTCTTGACATTTACTGGGTCTCGGGCATAGTTGTAGAACTTGTGTGTGCATCAAAACCTCTGTATTTAATTCTGTAGTTTGTCTATCTGGTTGAGGTGATTGGGATCATACTTACAGGCTTTCTTTCTGTCTGTACAGCT